TATAGTCACTAGCTTGACTCTAATTGAGGTCTTCATTCATCCTTTAAGGAGGTTTGAGTTTGCATGAAAAAAGCTTGAGGTGTGAAAGTAACCTCCTTTTAATATAGGGTTATAGTGGCTTTAACTCAAGATTTGGTGCTTGCTCAACCCAAGATGGTGAAATAAGTTAACTTTTACCCAACTTCTCAAATTGAGTTTTTCTTGGATAATTCACTTTTGGTGTAGCCTTCAAAACATATGCAACATTTGTAAGTTCTTCATTTTAATCCTTGGTTGTTGCAACTTGAACCAAACAAGCTTAAAGGAGTTTCTTTGGATTTTCCATATCAACAGCCTCTTTAGGTAACTTTTTAACTGTATCTAGAAAAAGAATGGGAGGCACATATGGCTTGCCTTGTGGTGGTGTAGATACTTCCTCTTCTCGCTTAAATTTTTCATCTTGAACTTGACTATTGAAAGTATTTCCTTGATCTACTTTATCTCTATCATTTACCTCATCAAGATGTTTACCATATTCTTCTTTTCTAGGATTACGCTTAGTGTTATTTGGTAAAATTTCTTGAAGCCTATTGTTGATGTAATTAGCAAGTTTGCCTAGTTGGGTCTCTAGATTTTGGATTGATTCTATTTGACTTTGAATGATGGCATCATTCTTTGTCATGAATTGCATGAGAACATCTTCTAAGGTAGGCTTCTCTTCAGGGACGAGCTCTAGCTAGTGATTGAAAACCATTATGGAAAACAAGCTGTGATAAATATGTAAGACCCTGATCATTTTTTGAAGAAAAATTTGGGCATTCCACCTGGAGTTGTAACTGTTAAAGTATAAATTGTTTTGCTGCTTATTGAAGTTTCCATCAAATTGCATTGATTCATAATAACTTGGATAACAATCACTTGAATACCCATCTCCACATAGTTCGATTGTCATAAAAGGACTCTGAAAAACATTAACACCCCAATTGTCAAATCTTTGAGACAAAGCATCTACTTGGGCAACCAAAGCACTGATAGCCAATTCATAATCATTAGTAACCCTCTTAGGCACAAATTATTTAAATGGCTATTGATAGTTATAATATTTCACCAGCTCGACCAAAAGTACTTGAAAATAAAATAAAAAAATTTGAATTAAGACTAAACTTGCTTGGTATTAGTATTAGTAAAAATTCTAGAAAACAATTCCTTGGCAACGGCACAAAAAACTTGTTAATTAAAAATCTACTACGTAAGTATACGTATCAAATAGATAGTATATAAGCAAGTAGAGTATCGGTCCCATAGAGAATTGATCTAAAATTTTGCTAAGTAATAAAATTATGACAATTTAATCTTAACCAAAGAATCAAAATTAATTAATTAACTAAAACTAATTAACCAAAATTTAAACTAAAAAGAAAAAATCAAATAATAATAACTTGAGTAAAAATCAAATCAAGCAAGCCTAAGATTACATGTCCCTCACACTTTATTTAAATCTTAACTCTCTTCCTTAACTTATTTCAATGGGTTAAATTTTTAACCTAGAGTCTTCAATTATTTAGAAGGTTCTCTCGACTCATCTTATAAAAAAATCTATTTTAACCAGAATACTATATCCCTACGTAAGTTGAAATTAAAATAGACTAATTAAGTTCAGACTCTAATCTAGCTACATAAGGCCTATAGGTATATCCTTATCCTATATGCAAATCAATTAATATGATAATATGTTATCCCAATTTTAGTCTACACTAAACTCCCTTTCCCAAGTTTATTTAGATTCTTAAATCAATTTAATTGGTGATCAAGCAGTTAAAAGCATTAAGAACAAATTGGAATAAACAATTCAAACCCCATTAAAGATAAGCAAGAAAGAGATTAAAGTTTAGATTACATGTGAGTTTAATTACAATTCTAGAAAAATAAATCTAGTTCATAATATCTAGTAAAAACTTCATCCAAAGAAAATTAGCCATTAATCCAAGTTAGAGAAAATAAGCAAAACACAAAAGTAAAGAGATAAAACTAATAGTTGAAGCTTTGTGATCTTGATTCTCCCTCTAATTTTCTTGCATTCTTGCTTTGTTTTTGGCTCTTTTTATCTAGAATAGTTGTTTGTTGCCTCCTCCTTAAAATCTCTGAAAAAAGTCCCTTAAATAGGCTCTAAATAACCTAATTTTCAAAATCTAGTCAACTTTTTTATTTTTAAAAAACTGCCCAGCGCTGAGGCGCTATTTCTCCAATGCTGCGACACTGAGCTCTTTGAAAAATTGTATGTGTGCTTCCTTTCATCAACTCTGCAACCTTGTTTTCCTAGCATTGTGGGTGTCTATCAAATTCAAATGTAAGTTTCACCCTGATATGGTCCGAAATGGGCAAAGTCCTACACATAAAAGTTTTAGTCTTGTCTCTTAGCTTTCCAATGGATCAAGAATCACATGATCTAATCAGAACTGCATATTGCTATAGACTTTTGGATTAAAAGATATGCTTCAAAGACAGCATCATGTTCAACCCCTGCATAGTGCTATAGTTCTTCAAATTAGACAAATATTTTGACCATGATCAGATCAAAATTAGGCAAATTGATAAACATAAACGTTGTATTCCTTCTTCTTAGAATTCTAGTGGTCTAAGAATCAATTCATTTAGAGTTTTGTAGAGAGAGATATGGTCAAAATACCGAAACATATACAAATGAAGCCATCATTATACTTACACTGATTTTCATCGAATAAGCATTTTTCATCAAATTTTCTACAAAAACAATAAAAGAAATTAGCAATAACTACTCTAAAAGTAATTTAAAACAAACTAACATAAAATTTAGCTAAACTAACTTAAATTATCTACTCAATGTATAATCAAACTTAATCTACAAAACACCTAAAATGTTAAAATGTGCACCTAAAATTTCAAAGATCTAACTATTTAAGCCTCCAAAATTTGTCAAAATAACTCTATGTAATAGAGTTATCAATGGCCTTATTTGTGGATTTGTGTTTCTATTGGATGAATGAATTTCGGACGTTGATCTGATTTGTGGTTGAGTGGATTTTTGTCCCTTTGTAACTATTTGTATGCTTGTAGGGATGGTGGCACTAATCTCGCTTGTGATACCTGCTTGTAGTGTTTTGATGCCATCCATGAGATTACCTCGGATGATGCCGACGTCGGGAGATTACACCAGTCGATGATATGTTCTTCGCCAACTACTTGGCGTTGTGCGTGCACTGTTCTCCACCCATTGCTTCAGCACGCATGTGATCTAATTATCAGTCAGTGACTTTAGTATGAATGTGATCTAATTCTCTGTCAGTTGGCCACCATGCGTGATCTGACTATGTTTAGGAGAAGACCACTTGTTGATTTGAATTATGCATGATGTGAGATAGCCATGGAAAGGCTTAGATAAATGTGATATGACTTTGATGTGATCTTCTAGTGACTAGAGTGTGCCATGGAGAATGATTTGAATAACTTTGATTAGCTTCAAGGATAAGCCTAATGATATGTGTGATGGTCTTTGAAGACATTGCGGATGATAATATGCCTTTATATTGGAGATTTAGGGATAATGATATGCCTTGTATTTGGAGATTTTTTTTGAACATCTAATTGCACGAAAGGTGCATATATTTTATATATGTAGTATATATATGATTTTGTTTATCTACACCACTCGTTGAGTATTATAGTATTCACCTATTAGTATACCATGTGTACATAAATAAGCCGCAGAGTTGTGTGGTAAAAGTTGCCCAACTATAAACCAATTTTGGCATTTGGTAGGTTTTTTGTTTTGGTCACTCCACTAAGTCAATTGAAGTCTTCCGCTGTGGATAATGTGTGTAGGCATTAAGTATAATGTTATATTATGTATTAAGGGTTAATATGTATGAATCTGTTTGGATGGCCAATGTATGGCCTTATTACTATTTTTATGAAAATTAAGCTAGGGATATTATATTTTATTTGAATTTATTATGAATATTTAATGATTGAATCCCTTGTCCTATGTATGTTTGGATATGAACTTTGAGGCTTGCTAGGGTCTAGTGGGTTTGTTTGCTAGGCTCCTGAACCAGTAATGGCTCTCGAATTTAGCTCGTGACAAAGTTGGTATCAAAGTGCCTAGGTTAGAGTGCCTTACGTAAAATTGTGTCTGTCAGTGGAGTGTCAAGAATCAGTGTAGAGTCTTGTTCATGGTTGGTGATTGTAGCACTAATTATGAACAAGAGGTTGCATGAACTCCCAAACTTTTAGTAAGTGTACCATTTGGATTTTGGAAACATGATTTTGAATGTGGTTTTGCTTTGTCTTTGTACAGGATGCCATGTAAGACGAAAGTTGCCTTGAGGGCCATGGGAGAGTAAGATGCCTCGGATGAGTCTACAGAACCATGATGAGTGTCCATGTCAAGGAGCCACGGTAGGAGTAAAGGAATGAGATGCACTCAAAATGCAGAACCAAGCTATATGTACACTAGTAAGCAAAATGTGGGAATTGTGGATGACCACCCTATAAATGGAGGTGTCACCCTTAAGGATTTGGTGGCAAGGCTGCAAAGTTTGGCTCATTAATTTGTTGAGTTCCGCAATAGAAGTGAAGCACCATCTGAGGAATGGGTTGATTCGAGTTCACAAGATCTGAACTATGTGCCTTAGTGTGACCACTAGAGAGGGGCTATTTAGGTTACTTTGGTGGATTTTATGAAGTTAAAGCCCCATTCATTTATAGGTTTAGATGTGGATGAAGATCTCTAAAGATTTTTAAAAGACATGAAATGCATTTGTTCGGCTTTGGGATGCTCCACATGTCGATTAGTGGTATTGGTGGGTTTTAGATTGAAAGATGTGGCGAGGATATGGTTTGTTACACTTAAAAGAAGTAAACCATCAAGGTCATTTTCAATAACATGGTAGGAATTTGTTCAAGCTTTTCTAGATCATTTCTTACTTGAGAACTTGAGAGACGCAAAAGCATAAGAGTTTGAGACTTTTAAATAGAATCCAAAGATGGCGATGACGAAGTATGATATCTGTTTCACTCAACTGTCAAGATATGCTCCTAACTTGGTCCTAACTGAATAGAAAAGCATAAAGAGATTCATTTGAGGACTAATTAAGTCACTTTTTAGAGCATTAGCCACCTAGAGGTTTGCCTCATATACAATAGTGGCGAATGTGACAAGACTGATTGAAACCATGGGATTGAAATCTAGAATGGTACAAGGTAGGGGTCGAAGAGCTTGAACACAAGGCCATTAGGATCGAGCGATTCTAACGCAACTAGGAGTCACACATTCATATGACATCAGAGTTGTGAAGGAACTACTCTTACATGGAGGCCACAAATAGTGATTCATTTAGCCTAGCCTTTAGACGAAAGTAGTCTAGCATAACATCTAATTTGGACCCTAGACAGAAAATTTTTTTATGTAATTATTATTGTAAGGCACATGGTAGACTATGCCACAAGGCAGCAAGATTATGTTTTAGATGTGGTCAGATTGAGCATTTGATGAAAGATTGCCTAATGTAGAGGCAAACAGCAGAAAGTGACCATGGTTATGTGAGACAAGTGGAGACTACCCTGCTTAAAACAACAAAGACTAAGAAGAATGCTAATGGTGACAAAGGCAAGGGTGTGACCTCATCATCCCATGGTAGATCGACACAACCAACTAATAAAAGTAAAGGTCAAACACATGTATTTGCTTTGACACAGCAAGATGCTAAGGCTTTCAATGTAGTGGTCACAAGTACACTTCCTATATGTGGTACCGAAGCACTAGTTCTATTTGATCCTGGATCCACACATTCCTTTATGTCCCCATACTTTGTGCCAAAACTAAATCGATTTTTTAGCAACATAGAGGAGCCTTTGATTGTGACCATTCCCTTAGAAGAGACATTTGTGGCGGAGTATGTCTATAAATCCTATGTGGTTCGTATTAAGGACAATGATACGTTAACAGACTTGGTATTGTTGTTAACTTTGGACTTTGATGTGATTTTGGGCATGGACTAGTTAGCATCCTATTTTACCAAGGCGGGTTGCTATCATAAATTGGTGAAGTTGAAATTTTCAGGGCAATCCTCGTTTATGATATATGGGCATGGTAGTCTAATATTTGTGGAAGTTGTATCAGATGTAATCGCTAAACCGATGCTAAGGCAAGAAAGCCAAAGATGCCTAGTGATGACAAGAGTTACTTTGATGGAAAAAAATAGTGTAGATTTCATACCGGTAGTGGGTGAGTATCTAGATGTATTTTTAGATGAATTGCCTAGATTACCTCTTGAAACGGAGATTGAATTTTATTTTGACTTGATTTTAGGCACACAACCAATTTTCATACCTCTTTATAAAATGGCACTAGTTGAGGTAAGAGAGCTTAAGGGGCAACTAAAAGATTTATTGGATAAAGGGTTTATTCGTTTTAGTGTCTCACCTTGGGGAGCTCTAATGCTATATGTGAAGAAGAAGGATGGTGGCCTTTGGTTATGTATTGACTAACAGCAATTAAAGAAGGTCACAATGAAGAATAAATATCTATTCTCGAGGATTGATGATTTGTTTGATCAATTACAAAGCGTCGTGTGCTTCTTTAAGATTGACTTGCGCTTGCGATATCGCCAATTGACGATAAGAGAATGTGATGTACCCAAGACAAGATTTTACACATGTTATGGACATTATGAGTTTTTAGTGATATAGTTTGGACTCACTAATGCACCTGTAGCATTTATGGATTTGATAAACAGGGTCTTTCAAGGATATTGGATAAATTTATGGTTGCATTTATAGATGACATATTAGTGTATTCTAAGAGCCTAGAGGAACATGCACAACATTTAAGAATGGTGCTACAGACCCTGAAAGAGCATCGATTGCATGTTAAGTTTCAAAATGTGAGTTTTAGTTGAGTATGGTTAGCTTTTTAAGACACATCATGTCTGAACAAAGGGTGTAAGTGGATCTTAATAAAGTGGAAAGTGTGAAGAATTAGCCAAGGCCAACGTTTGTAACTAAAGTTAAAAGTTTTCTACGCTTAATAGAATGTTATAGACGATTTGTGCAAGATTTCTCTAAGATCACATCCTTTTTCACAATATTGACTCAGAAAAGGGTCAAGTTCAACTAGTCTGATGTTTATGAGGCTAGTTTTCAAAAACTTAAAGCGTACCTCACTTCTGCACCTATGTTAAGCCTACCACATGGATTTAAAGGCTACATCGTGTATTGTGATGCATCACGAGTTGGATTAGGTTATGCATTAATGCAACACAAGAAGGTTATAGCATACACCTCATGAAAATTAAAGATACATGAGCAGAATTCTCCTATGCACGATCTAGATATGATAACGATTGTATTTGGCTGAAAGATTTGGAGACATTACTTGTATGGAAAGACTTGTGAAATATATACAAATCACAAGAGCTTGAAGTATATATTTCAGAAGAGAGATTTGAATCTAAGGTAGCATAAGTGGCTAAAATATTGAAAGATTATGACTGTTCCATACTTTACCATCTCGGTAAAGCGAATGTGGTAGCGGATGCTCTAAGCCAGAAGTCGATGGGAAGATGGTACATGTGATTATGGAGAGATGATCTTTAGTGCAGAGTTTGTATGATTTAGGCAATATGGGAGTGCATTTGGAGATTAACCACTTGAATGCCTTGTTGGTGTACTTTAGAGTTCGATCAATGATATTAGATTGAATTAAAGTTTCCAAGGGTCAAGATGAATTGGTAAAAATATTTGAGGACATGAGTGAGGATATAACTCGAGACTTTGCATATCACACAGATGGTTTGATGAGATATAGATCACGAGTCTACGTGCCGAATATGGATAATTTGAGGAATGAGATTTTAAAAGAGGCACATGTGGCAACCTATGTGATACACCTTGGAGCTACCAAGATGTATCATGACTTGAAGTCTGTGTATTGGTGGCCAGGACTAAAGAGAGATGAGGCTGAGTATGTCTTTAAGTGTTTGACTTCCCAACGAGTGAAAGTTGAACATCAAAGGTCATCGGGACTGTTGCAACCATTACCAATACTTGAATGGAAATTGGAACATATAGCAATGAACTTTAGGACAAGTTTACTACAAGCTAGAGGTGGCTATGATGCCATTTAGGTGATAATTGATTGGCTAACTAAGTCAGCTCACTTTTTACCAGTTAAGACTAAGTATGGAGTAGCTTTATATGCCCAAACTTATATTAATTAGATTGTGAAGCTGCATGGTGTTTCGGTGATGATAAGAGGACCATAGTTTACGAGCTAATTTTGGACGAAATTGCAAGAGACCTTAAGCATAAGATTAGATTTTAGTACGACCTTCCACCTGCAAACGAATGGCCAATCGGAGCACACCATTTAGATGCATGAGGAGATGTTAAGGTCCATTGTGCTTGACTTTGGAGTATCATAGAATCATTATTTGCCTTGGGTCGAATTTACATATAACAATAGTTACCAAGCCACGATCAGTATGGCTCCTTTTGAGGATTTATATGATCGAAGATATAGATCACCTATTGGTAACACCAATACATTGGACCTTTTGAGGTATTAAGGTGCGTGGGCACAATTGCTTATCATTTTGGTGTTACTGCCTGATTTTTCCAATGTCCATCTAGTTTTCCATGTGTCCATGCCTAGGAAGTATTTTTTGGACCCTTCCAAGTGATACGATATGATGAAGTCCAGATGCAAGATTGACTTAGCTACAAAAAGAAATCTGTAGCCATATTGGATCGCCAAGTATGACGTCTCTGCTCTAAGAACATTACTATGGTGAAAGTATTATGGTGAAGCCATTCAATTGAGGAAACCACATAAGACCTTCAAGAGGAAATCTGAGATAATTACCCCCACCTTTTTTAGGTTTGATATACATAATTTAATTTGAAGTACATGATTTGAAATTCGGGGATGAATTTCTAATAACGAGGGGAGAATGTAGCACCCCTAATTTTTTATGTAAGCTAAGAATGAATTATGAAATATGTGGAGTTTTAAGGATTTTGATGATAAGTTATGAACACCTAGTGTTTAGGAGTGTACATATTGACACTTAATCAAAACTTTGAAGAAATTTGTGATAAATCTCAAAATTTAAGGTTTTTATTAAGATTTGACATTATGTTTATGAGTTTATATATGAGATTAATTTAAATGAATGATTTGAGGTGTAATATCAATCAAGAATAATATTGGAGTGTTAAAGTTGGACTTTTGGAGTTTTTGGGAAGCTTATAACTGCCTACAGGGGTGAAAGTATCGATACATTAATGGTAAGATGAACAACAAAAGCCCTAAGAAGAATATTCTATCAATACATTCTCAAATGTATCAATAGATTTGGCCAAAGATGAACATGGATTAATACATTGTTCAAATGTATTGATATATTTTAAGTAGAGAGCTCCTAATGGGTAAAGTATCGATACATTACCCCAATGTATCGATACATTCATTCGAAATTCAAGCAGATGTATTGATACATTGCCAAAATGTATTGATACATCAGAGAGGCAAAGGCAAAAATAAAAAAGGGGTTTTTGGGCCATTTCGCCGGTTATTCGCTCTTAGCTATTTCTCTCCATTTCTCTCTTTAGAAACCTGAGACCTTAAAGCCACAAATTGATTGTTGTAGTGATTTGAATCTATTTAGAGCTTGGGAAACCATCATGGAGGTAAGTTTAACATTTTTATCGCGATTTAATTGATTAATAACTTTGAATTTGAGTTTTCTCTAGATTCGATATTTTTCCCTCTTTGGGTTGGATTGGGGAATTTGGAGATAAAACTCATGCAATTCAACTTCTAAGGTATGGGTTTAGCCTATTAATGAAGGATTTGAGTTTAAATAGTTGGATTACTATGATTTAGTTAATTGTGTGAAAGGTTGGCATTTTTTTAAAAGTCGGGAATAAATAATCTTTTGATGTTCTTATGTGTTTGAAAGGGGAAATGGAGTTAAATTAACTCATTGGCAAGCTGCACAATGATTGGAAGCTAAAGGTCGAAGCTTGACAGGGAGTGCCTCCTATTGTCATTGTGTGTGGGTTTATTTTAATATGCTTGTAATGCACTGCACTAGTATTAGATTGAAAGATGTATGCCTAGATGAATGAACCTAGGCTAGAGAACAATATATGTGTATATGTATATATGTGAATTGAGTGCGATTATGTGCTGTGATGTGAGACACATGGATGGCCTATGTTGTGTGTGTGCCTAGATTAGGATGTCTAGAGGCTAGGATGAACCCATAGGAGTAGATTACCCTTGGTGAATGATATGTGAGATGATTTGATTGAATGATGCCTTGGAGACTTAAAGGCACTTAAAATCTAACCGAGCTTAAGACAATTGAAGCTCGATAAATGTGAATTAAGGTTTGATAAGGAAATTCTGAATGATAAATGCATAATGGCTTGATTTGTGGCTTTGTGTTTTCATTTGAAGAATGAATTATAGATGTTGATCTGATTTATGGTTGAGTGGATTTTTGTCCCTCTATGACTATTTGTGTTCTTGCAAGTATGGTGTAAGCAGGGACAGTGGCACTAATCCCATTTGTGATTCTTGCTTGCAGTGTTTTGATGCCATTTGTTGAAATTACCCTAGATGATGCCAGTGTTAGGAGATTACTCTAGTCGATGATTTGTTCTTTGCTAACTACTTTAGCTCTTTGAGTGATCTGTTCTCTACTTGTTGCTTCAACACGCATGTGATCTATTTCTCCACTAGTAGTTTTGCCTTAAGTGTGATTGATTCTTCGCCAGTTGGCCATCGTGTGTGCTTTGACTATGCTTAAAGGAGGACAACTTGCTAATTTGAATTGTGCTGGACGTGAGATAGCCATGGAAAGGCTTAGATAAATGTGATATGACTCTGATGTGATCTTTTGGTGAATAAAGTGTGACGTGAAAAATGATTTGAATAACTTTGATCGACTTCGAGGGTAAGCCTAATGATATGTGTGATAATCTTTGGAGAA